GATCTGCTCCAGCATAGCTGTTAGATGCGCAAGAAACAGCATTGCAAGAAACTGTGTTGTATGTGTTATAAATGAAGATAATCCTGTGGTGAGATTCTCTCCTCAGAGGGAAGTCTCTTAAATAGTGAAGTCAAGGCTCCGTGTAACAAAAGGAAAGGAAGACGAAGAAACTTGAGTGTATCCCTCTTCTATCTACTGTCATATCTTACTGAAGATAGTTGAGAGAGTCTGCATCCTCCATGGACTGCGCCTAGGGCGGGGGAACCCCAGTTCTGATGCATGTTTCGATGTGTTAAGGCAATTCAGATTAAATGATGCAGTAATAAGAATGAATTGTGGTAGACAATGCCATAGAAAGAGAGTTCATGGACAAAATTAGTATAATATCCTGTTCCTTCTTTATTCTGCCCTGCTATAAAGGATGAGGACAAAAATGAACTTAGAGTCCCCCAGTCCAGAAGAATCTTTCCATTTCTTTCTGAGTCCTAAAGAGTAGGAAGACCTCCCAGTCATCTTGCTTTTCTGTTTTATTTGGCCTGATTGCTTCCCCTCACATACTGTTAGCATGTCGGAACTAGAAGGCAGTTTAAGATACAATTCCTTTTCTTACTTCTTAGTTTTGTGCTATAGGCTTGACTTTCCCTGTGTTAAAGAGCACAGTTATGCTTTGAAAGTGGATACCAGCAAGATTCAGAGACCAAGAATGAAAGGGAAGACATTGAACTAGTCCTCATTTTCTGCAGTATAAGGTCATGCTACCTCCAGTTATAGACATTGGGGAATCAGGAGTTCCCTCATCAAGAAAAATAAGTTAGATTAGAAAATAATAATATTACTTTGACTAATTTATTCCATATGACTACTTGATAAACATGTGGGATACTGTTCTTTCTTTGAAATTCTGTATTTTTACTTTTTTGAGTTATTCTCTGAAAATTGAGTAAATTTGTATACAAATCACGGCTCCAATAAAACTAAAAATCAACTGTACTTTCGTAACTTTTTCAGATGGGTTTTCATCTGGTATGTCTCATAGATGCTGTTGTTTTCATACAACTCTCCTAATACATCATTTAATATTTAACGTTTCAGGGTTTTCTAAGTGCAGGGAAAGCTTGGTGTTCATAATGGATTGTCCTGGACAAGCAGTCTTTAGCAGCACTACTTTCAAGTGACAGCCTGCCTAAAATACATTGAGGGAATAAAAATACTCAGTGCGTTAAGCATATTTAAAGCAAAATGAATTCAGTTATAGTAGCGTTTAAAGTATTTTGCTACTAACTGTAATTGATGTGCATACGTTTCACCTGCAAGTATGTACGTGGGAAGCAGTGGCAGAACTAAAATATATAAGGAGAGACAAAGGGGAGTGAAATACAAAGGAGACTATTTTGCATGTTTTGCCTCCTTTGTCCTGAATTTCATACACCCATGCTGATGTCGTTCTGGAAGAGAAAGAAGACTAACTCCATGTCCACTGCTCTCAGTGCTGCTCTCAGCTCTTCCAGAGAGCAGAGCCTCCTCAGTGGGTAAACCAGGCAATACTCTGTGCAGTATCTCATCAGCTATAGGGGAATAACGACAGCAGAGAGCTAGCTTTTGACAAGCCATTGATAGCGTCAAGTCTCCAGAGCCTTTATGCTCAGCTGCACCTCCTCAGCTCTATGTTACAAATTGCACCTGGGAGAAAATGCTGGAAACATGAGGAGTGACAGCTCCAGAGTCCCACCGCGGGCTCTCACGGAGCTCCTTGATTGCCTCATCCTTATCCAGGTTCACTAGGATGCCAGCATCAGGGCTCAAACTGGGAGGCTACACCGCTGGTCGGACAGCAGACCTGTCCTTCTCCTAACCACCTTATCCTGATAGTTCTGCCACTTCCACCTGGAGCTGCCATGGGCACCGTTATTTCTCCCCTGAAGCTGACTGATTTAGCAGCGGGTTGGTCGCAGGCAGCACACGTACACTCTGGCCCTGGGTCAGTTGAGTTCAAGACAGATTTAGTTTGCCCTTTGCCGAGTGGGTGCACGTTTGAACCTGTCCTTCCAATGATACAGAACTTCAGGCGCCGAGATGTTTGGTTTGCTTTCTTTGAGATCTGTGGTTTTGTTGCCAGTAACGTTAATAGAGCTGGAAGATAAATCGTACTGAATGTAAAACATTTGGGCTTCAGTGTGCCGGGCAGATATCCATGTAGAGAGAAGGGCAATTAAATCCTCTTGCATTATAAACCTTATAGAATAAGGCTCTGGCTGAGGTCTTACACATATGGGAATTTTCTCTGGTGAAGCCTGATGAGTTGTCGTTCTGGTTGCCAATAATATGGATAAATAAAAGGCTTAACAATTAGGAAAGAAGGAAAACAAAGATAATACACCTGTCAAACTTTTTGTATTATTAATGTGCAAGTGAAAAAACGTCGTGCTTGTGCATGATGTTGCCCTTAATACCAGCTGTTGCTTGTGCACGTGGATCAGTATTTTGCATCGGCCGAACAGCCTTGCTGCCAGCAAGCACTCTTAACAGGCAACGTCGATAACAGCAGTCTTCCCACACTCCATACAATTCAAGCTATTTTTCAAATTAATAATAATACTTAATAAAGCTTCATCTAGCATTTGCAAAGAAAACCTTCAATTAATGTTAATCAGCATCCTCAGAATGTGATCAGGCTGGGCTTGTAGCTGGACGTGCTGAAACAGTTCAACTGGCAGATGGAGCATTTTCCAACTATTATAATTAATGGCTGCTCATTTCAAATGTTAATGCAATTAAATAAATAGTCAAAACAAATAACAATAATATATGTTATGAAAATACCACTATCGGAGAGAGTTCTGATCAAAAAAGTGAGCCTCGCTCAAACCCAAGAAGGGCCCAACCATCCCCTCTTGGCTAAAGAAGATCTAAAAAAGACAGGGCTTGCTTTTGTTCCTTGCTATTTCCAACCAGTTCTCTAGGGTCGACATTTATATCACTTCCATTTTAACCTGCTGGCATCAACTGAGTCATTGCTTCTCCGAGTATTAGAACATTTTTCTGCAGAAAGTGGGAAAGGATTTCCGTCACGTATTATGGGCTTTTTCTCGTGTAAGATTTAGACTGTCCCTGCTTCTTGCCTTTTCTGCTTGAACTCAGTGTCTGATTTTTTTTTGAAGGGTTTTACTTTCTGTGAACCTTGTATACCATAGCACTGATGTAGGACCACATTCGTTTGGGCTTATAAAGAGTTCAATTAGCCCCTTAATGCCTAGTTCAGTCACAATTAAACCTTCCCTGTTGACTCAGGATTGGTCTTTCTAAAGGCAGTGGAGGTGGTTTTAATTATTCATTCTCTGGTTTGTTTCTTACAGCAGTCTCAGCTGTGCTTTATTATTCAAAGGTTAATGCAAACTGAGAACTGGGTAAATTAAATTTGTTTGGCAGCTAGCAACCTGCTGTATTATAGACACTGTGAAATATGGATGGCAACACTTCTGCTATTGTGACACTTAAAAAGCCAGATTTTATCTTTAAAACAATTTCTAGTTTTGTTACTATGGCTGATGATAGAAAATGAATGTTCCGTAATGTTATAGTCTCTGTAACCCATTTTTGTTAAGAAAGCACGTAGTTTAGAAAGCCAAGAAGCATTAACAGCTATTACAGAAAATTGATGTAGGTACCATGACTAATGAAGTACACCGTGCAGTACTAAGTCACGCAGTTGTATGCAGGGAATCATGCAGTCAGAAGTTTTAATGAAGGGAGTCCAAGGAATTTCAGGTGAAAGAGGGTTTTATTAACTTTCAGTGAACAAAATGAATAGTTGAGCAGTGAACATGACATGTCGTCGTATAATAATTGTATGCCTTAGGTACATTGGAGCATGGAGCATAGCCAAGAGCTTTCATCTGTTCTACACACAGGGTTATTTCACAAACCCCTGCATGCTGTGGAAATCTTTTTTGCAAACATAACAAGAATTGTTTCACAAGAAATGCCTTGAGACAATACCACATCATTTATTTGAAATATACACCAGCACTGCCGCCTTCTGAAAAATATTAATCGAGTATCTAGAAGTCACCATCCCAATTGATCCTATCTAAAATCCAGGTCCTGTATCAGTGGCTGTATCGGCAGGCTGTGAACCAAAAATAAGTCTTCATATTCCTTAAAAGGCCACCCTGAGTAAAATTTGTATATCCATGGACAAGCATTATTTTGTGTGAAAGGAGGCTGTGTTGGCTTTTGGAAGAGTCATGCCCAAGAACTCTTATTAGTTTTTAATTTTATTTTTTCAGGAATGGACTCTGTGGGTGAGAGATTTTTCTTGTTTCACATACAGGATTAAGTTTTGTGCATTTTAAATATTGTTTCAGTCCTATGTTTTTAAACAAAGACTTTGAATTAACATAATCCAACAGTTCATCCCGCTTCCTGCTTATAATTTTTTAAGATAGGGTAACGATTGCAGAGTAAAGCAGCCTTCTATACTAGTGACTGGAGACCTTAGGTTAGTATCTTAGAAAGTGCAGCTGCAAGGTCATTTGTACCGTGCTCGGTCTTTAGTACAGTCTGTGCTGTATAATAATGTGCGTAATTACGCTGCTACTGACTGATGAGGTAGGTGGGTGAGGAGGTAGGTGAAAATAGGATGTCTTGTGAGGCAAGACAGTAACAAGACATCTCAGCAAAGTCTCTGTATCCTTGCACTGTAAATACTTCACATCTGCCCACTAAAATACTTGCGATAAGACAGTCAAGAATTGTTCTGTGCTTATTTGAATAATTTATAATGTGATTTTAATACTTCTTCCTGGCTGAATATATCACTTCACTGACAGAGCTTAGGACACCAGTTACATTTTCTACCAAGGACTAACTTAATGAATGTGATACACAATTTTAACTTGTAGTGTTATTGCAAAAACAGTGGTACTACTAGTAGAGTACAACTGATGCAGTATATTCTTGGTTGTATGTGGTTATTATGTTTTTTTTTTTTTCTATTTTAGTGCTGGACCCAAAGGAGACAACATTTATGAATGGAGGTCAACTATACTGGGGCCTCCGGGGTCTGTATATGAAGGTGGAGTTTTCTTCCTTGACATTACCTTTTCACCGGATTATCCTTTTAAACCACCTAAGGTTAGTAGGAGGATTTTAAAAGTCTAACAGGAGTCCTTTCCTTGTGATATTTTTTAATGTGTATGTTGATATATCATTGTAGGATAAAACACAAAATTTTCAAGGCAATAATGAATATTTAAACTGCGTATTTTGCTAGAAAGAATTTAAATAACTGCCTAAAATTTGCCTGCGTGTTGCCAGTATAGCTGGATGGATATGGGTTTATTTAGCAAATGATTGCATAATTTCCAACAGTTATTTGTTTGATTTGGATTCGTTTCTAATATGAAAGCATTTATATTTGAGTTGCACCCTTTATAAGCAGCTGAGGGTACTTAATCTTTCCTGTTGACCCATATCCTTCACCAGAGGTCTGTGGCAGTCTGACAAAAATATGCACCTTTTGCACTACCCCGTATAAATTACTTCTGCAGATGCAAGATACACTATTGTTCGTGAAGTTATAAGTAATTGGTTTACATCAGTTTTCTGGAAGAATGTGGAAATATGGCAGCAAAGGCAAGAAACTGGAGTGAAAGACAAGAGATTTACAGAATTCCGTACGGATTTGTTTTCTAATGCTGTCAATAATGACACTAACCACAAACGTAAAACTGTACCAATAACATGAAGGTGACAGATCATTACCGTGATCAAGTAGACTCGAAACGTCAAACAGGAAAAATCTAGTGATTATGAAGACTGGAAAAACAGAAATGGGATGAAATGCAGTAGTGCAGACTGCCATCGATAACCAGTCGTAACAGTTGCTGAGGGAAGGTGTCAAAATGGGGCTTTATTGGGTGATCACAGGATTATGACAAACTACCTGTCTAATGCATCTATAAAAAAGGCAAATGCACTCCTAAAATGCATCCTCTGGCACTGCCTGTAGAAATAAGGAATTACCAATGTCATATACAAGACACTAGTAAGACCTTATCTGGAAGACTGAGTGCAATTCTTCACGCACGTGTTCACTAAGAGGAACAGAAACTGGGAAAATTTACTCCGCATGGGTTGTTAATAGAATCAAATGAATTGATGGGCCTGTCTTTTATGAAACAGAGTCAAAAGAGGTGAATCATTCACCTTGCCAGTGTGAGAATGAGGGTCTGGAACAGCTCCTTGGGAGGAGCTAAGGGAGCAAAAATATTTACCTTCTTTTTGACACATTTATGAAAGGGTTGGTATGCCATGTTGATCTATAATAGAAGCATATTGCATTAAAAGAGGGAGTAGCTGATTCCTGTTTGATTACCATGAGTACACTATTGAAAGGGAAGTATTTATAAACAGAATTTTAATGCCACAGTAGTAATGTTTATAGTAGTTAACATTCATATTATCAGGAAAAGTTTTGAAAAATAACAAGAGATGTGAATTCAAAGTACTTGTCATTCTGTAAATTGGACTTTCCCAGCCAGTGACCTAAAGATGGGTCAGTATAGCAGTATTAGAGATGGTAAAACTTTGTTTCCCACTTTTAGTGTTCCAGTTTAGGGAAGCTTTGAGGTCCCTGGCAAATCTTACAAGGATTGTACACCTTGCTGATTGCGCACTATCTGATTTAGATAACTGAGATTACATGATGAAGAAAGAATTTGAAGCTGTATAACTTCTCCTTCAGTTAGTTAAAGCTTTGGGCACACTGAGCTGGGGTGATGCCCCGTTCTTCCTGCCTCCTTCCCAGCCCAGGCCAGTCCAGACTTCTTACTTGCTATACAAGGTCCATCTCTACAGGCTCCTCCTGTTTGCTTCTTTGCTGGGCTTAATCTGTTTGTAGTAGTTGTAATGCAAGGGTTACATTCAGTCCCTCAGCAAACTAAATTTATATTATTTAGGGGTTATTGACACTAGATGGATTTATTCAGTATAGAGCTTGAAGTTCTCTCGGAGATCGAAACCTGATATGTGAAGAACTAGATCTGAAAGACAAGTCGTCCTCTCTGTTGAATCTGTTGAGTCTTGAGGCAACAAATTTGATAGGCATCCTTTTAAAACAGAAGGTGAAGGTCCAGTTTGCTGTTTCACCACGAGGTAAAGAATTTTTCAGTCCACACTCAGTTGTGTTTGGCAACTGTGTTATTTTGAGACATGAGTAATGCAGCTGTGCATTGCTCATTAATGAAATATCAAGCAAAGAGGTGGCTCTTGTCTTGCTTTGTAATACTTTTTTTTTGTCTGCCTTTATCTTGATGCCAGTTGTCATTCTAAGAAATGTTTCCATATAAATCATATGAAAATGTACTGCTTGATAAAGGATGAGAGAGTCGATGCCATATTGTATTACTAAAAGGCCACTATTTATGATGAGAGAAATTGTTATCTATAAGAAAGTAATGAGTACATGTGCACAGAGTACTAATGTCAGATAAAAATAATATATCACTAGCCTATTTTGTACACATGGATTCTTATTCTATTCACTTCAATCACTGTTGTAAATTACCCCTATTTTCAGTCCTGCTGTAAGATCTCTCAAACTGTTGCTATTTCATTACACCTATTTTCCAGACCCTTTGAAACTGATTCACAGGTAAAATAGTTTGAGAAATCCCTTGAATAAAGCAGTGTGGGAAGATGACTGCTTGTCATAAGGTAGCAGCTGCCAGTCAGTATTGTTGGGAAATTATGGCTAACTGTGTTCTCCACACTCTTATTTCTAAGAAAAGAAAGGTGGTGGGTACGTGGAACATAACTTATAGCCTCACAGGACGGTGCTGTCCATGTCACTGGATGTTCACACCTCTTCTACCTCACCACAAGATTTGTGATAATTGCTGCTGTTCTTAAAATCATGGGGTTTAGGGTTATGGGAATAGATCATCTTAGATTTTTTTTTCTGAGTATATTCCCACTCTTCATGGCTCTATCATCTTAAAAAATCTAGAGATAAAGTACAAGACTGTGGAATGTACTGAGAAAGACATGAAATGTATTCCTGAGTGTTGGTGAGATTACCGCCCTGTAAGTACATAGCAGAAAGGGTCTGATTCACATTTCTCGCTATGATTGAATTCATACATTCCTCCTGAGATTTCTGTGGACCGTTTTCATCCTTCTTTTACTGTGAAGCAAGGAAACATTTAAATGAGGACTGTCAAAATTAATCTTCCAAAAATGTGACCACAAAAGACCTAGGAAGAAACAGGAACTGTGTTTCCCAGATGCGATTACTTGACCCAGGCTGAGGTTCCAAAGGCAAATGCCCGTGTCACATAACATAGTTACTGTTAAAGGGCCTAATCCAAAGTGTATTAAAATCTGCACAAAGATTTCCACGATCCCTTTTCCTTATCTATTCTCAGATGTTTTGCACTCTGTTATCTTGCATGTGTATGTTGCGCATGGATGTCGGGAAGGGTAAAATAATTTTAAACCAAGAAAAATCATTTTTTTTATTTTTATTATTAAAATTAAATATATTTGTAGTGTAACTATTGTTTGGGTTGTATTCTATAAAGTTTACAGTATACTCTAAAGGATCTAGATTCCTTCTATAAACACTGTTGATGTCTATTCCAATCGTTTGACACCTTCGGCCTATGGAAAACATTAATTAAAATCAAATTAAACATCTGAGAGCACATTTGCACATGAGGGAAATATGTTTTGGGGTTTTTTTTAACAAATGTGTGAAGTAATTTTCATTCACTCTTCTAGATAGTTACCTTTCTTTCTCACCTTATCTTTATCATGTAAAAGAAACTGAATCACTCATTCATTCAGGCTTTATTTAAACAAAGAGAAAGTATCTATCCAAAACTTTCGTTTTTATATATTTCTTCAGTATTTACAACTTTGTAGCCTTCAACATCACATCCTCTTACAATTATAAAGTTTTATCTTTATTCTTTACATCCTTTACTTGCTACTGTGTGGACCAGTTCACGTTCTTAGTGTATAGCCTCACATCACTGCCATCAGGTTTCCCTTCCCGTCTGCAAGAGTTTTCTTTTTGCCTATCGTTAACTGTCAGTGTCTCTCTAAAGTTAAGCCATAAGCATAATATCAAATTATATTTGATTTTATTGATTAAAATAATTAATTATATTGAATTTGAGTTATTCTTCACCAAAACAGAATATACTGTGTGGTAAGTCCCAGTATGATTTGCTCTCACAATATTAATTTTTTGCCCCTTTGAAGTAAGTCTATTTCAGTTTTTCAACTTTGCCTTGAAACTGGACTCCAGACTTTCCAAGCGGGAGGTCACTGACCCTTTCAGCTTTGCTTTCCTTTTAAATGAATGGCATTTGGCATCACTCACAACCACAGCACGCTCAGGCAGAGGAGGGAGTTGTTCTTCCCCAAAAGGTTTATCTGTGTGTGACAGATGCAGCCCGAACAGGAGCAATGGAGGCCATCCCAGCCAAGCTCCGATTTATCTCTACAATCAGAGAACAGGATTTTTAGAACAGCTCATCTGAGAACTGACAAATTAGCTTTGGCTTTCTGGGAGGCTCTAATCAATTAAAAATATTTCCTCACCTCCAATGTGAGGAAGCTTCTGTAGCACTGCGGAAATTAGCTGAGCGCCCGGTTGGCTGAGTCAGCAAGAAAGCGGGCAGCCTGCAGAATCACCGTTCTCTTTTCAGCTGCATCCTAAATATCACGTTGGTTTTATGAGATGCCAGGCAGGAGGAAGGTATGGAACAGGCAAAGCAAGGCGTAGATGTGGACGTGATCTTATTTTCTGCTAAAGGGCAGATGCTGTTGAAGCTTCAGTCTTGGTCACAAGGTGAGGTTTCACTTCAGCCCAAAAATACAAGCTCTCCCCTGGAGTGCGGTGGGCTGAAGAATAGAGAAAGCTGTGCCCTGTTCAGAGCAGCCACTTAAAGAAATGAATAAAAATACTTAGATGGCCTGCCAAGGAAATAACCTGAAGTTTCTCCGGTGCCTTAATGACCCCTGAACCTTTTTTAGAAATACCTTTGAGATTTCTTTTTCCTTCTAACTATCTTCCTTTCGCCCTTAATGGATTCAGACAGTTCGCCCCTTGGCTTTAACAAAGG